CCGCGGGGCAGTATCGGGCGTCGCCATGCCGTTCCGCAGCCCCCCGTGCGGCGGCATACGTGCATGCGCATGCATATTCATGTTGCGCACACGTGGAGGCGACGACGAGGGGGTTGGCGGCGGCATCATGGGCCGGCCTATGAATTTTCGATAAAACCGCGAAAATTTCCCACGGAGAATCGTTTTCGGGCCGCGTCTGTCTGGGGAGGACAGTTTAACGATATCAGGGGGGTGGAGAAGGGTTAGGGTTACCTTTCTCTCTTTCTCTTTTTTTATTCGAGCTGGTGGCCCGTCGCCAATCGAGATCGATGCGCAAAGGGCCAGGAAGCCGTCGTCATCCAAGGAGCTGACCATCGCGGCTGCTTCCCACGATACCCTGTTCGCGATTCCGTTGTTCCTGTCGAGATAAGTGGTCGATCCGGAAATTCTGAATTTAGTTACTCCCGATCCTCGAGGATATCGATAGTTTCCTTGGAAAGTTTGTCGAGGAGGGAAACTCTCCGTTTCACGAGTTCACGAGGTTACGCGAGCTACTGCTTTAACGGCTATCCTCTCTTTCTCCGGAGAGATTTAAAATATTCTCGTGTTACAAACGAATACAAACGAATCTCTTGGCGTGCAAACAAAGATAATAATTACGTGATCTCTGAAATATTTATATTTTACGTGGAGTGTAAATGTTTATTGTTAAAAATCTCGATCTATCTCGGTATCTATCCGCTGAATAAGGCGAATCCCCGCCGTTTTCGATGCGAAAATGATCTGGTAATGCGAAAGTTACGAGGCGGAAATCGCGTAGCCCCAACGATTAACGTTTAGCGTTTCCTACCAGTTATTTCTACACAGATACGCGAAGGAAGAGATAGCGAGGGGGGAGGGAATCAGGGATTTCCACGATCCGTTTCCTAGAATCCGGAAACTAGGATTTTAACCCGATCTCGTCTGAGTTCATCCAATTTCCTCTTTGGGGATCTCGTTCTCATGAATAACCGGTGTAACAACGAGTTCTCTGATCGAATCTACGCGCTCCTACCGATGGATTCCGTTCGAAAATGTTCCTCGGACGGAGCTTCGTCCCGTGAAAACGCGAAATATGACGAGAAACGTGTAAATATTCCATTCCAGATTTTTTTTCTCCGCTTCTCGAAAAATATCTCGCATCGCTACCTACTTTCAATCCGATCGATCGATTCATTCTCAAATAATCTGTTTCAGAAAATTTTGAAAAATAAATATATATGTATTCTTAAGGATGATGATGATATAAAATTGTTAAAAACTTATAAATCGTTTATAATATTTGGGACAACGCAATATATAGCTGATCCTGGGACTGGGAACGCCGTTGCAACTGGACTTCGAGAGCATAATCATCGGTGTCTTCACCAAGATCGTATACAACTTGCCATCGAACGCGACAGACTTCACCGTTCCGGGGGTCTATTATTCTCGAGCGCAGAAGAGCAGATGGAGCGTTTACAAAGCATTGGAAAAGGCGGCTGGCCTGTACGGATTCGGTGGGAAGGCCTGCCTATTGAAGGCCATTTGCGAAGCTGCCTCCGCTCCTTTCGATGGTACTCACGGTTTGTTGGGACAGCTGTTGCACGTCTTCTTCAGGTGAAAAGTAGAAAAAAAAATATTCTCAGGAAGAAAGATCCAGGCCACTTATCCCGATATTTCGATAATAATCTCAATCCAGTCCAGTCACCGAGAAGAGAAGAGAAGAAAGAGAAGGAGCAAAAGATTATTCACGATCCTTATGAAATCAATTTAATCTAATCTAAGCATATAAGCATATATTGTG